TACTTACATGGAAATGTTAATTATTTCTTTTGTCCTAAGGGAGCCATCAAAAAAATTACCGGAACACTAAATGCACCATGAACTGAGAAAGTTTAAGTTCTTGTGAGTTAGTAGGTTATGCAATAATTCAGGCAAGAAATTATGGAGGCTTGAAATTGGCTGAGAGAGATGGAGGTGCTGAAAAATGGTCATATTTGCATGTATTTTAAAGTAGGGCCAACAGGACTATTGAGAGTATGAAAGAGTAGGGGGGCTAAGAAAGACTTCAAGGTTTTGACCTGAGTTGTCACTATGAATTTGGATTAACTATTCAAGTCTGCATTTCAAGGGCTGCAGACATAAATCTGAAAGTGATCAGTTTATGAGACTGGAGATCATCACCTCCAAATTAGTGTGGATTGAAAGGACAGAGCACTGCAACACATGATGTTTCTAATTCATCTTTGTATCTACAATTCATATTATTGCACATGGCAAATAGCAGGCAGTTAACGAGTATCTATTTTTACAAGGGTAAAACATGTACATACCACAAAATTTCGGTAGTTGCAAGAGGGTATGAACTAAAAAGTGAGTCTTCCTCCCCATCCTGGTTCCCAGTTCCTCCAGTGACACCAATGGTATGTATGTATCTTCTGAGAAGTAATACATGTACATGCAAGCATATTTGAATGTGTATGTGTCAGAGTAAATCTTTTTACTTTTACACAAGTGTAGTACTCAGTACACAGGGTTCTATATCCTACTTGGTTTGGCTTAAGAATATACTTTAGAAATTACTCCATTTTTAGAAAAAGGAACACTTGTGCACTGCTGGTGGGAATGCAGACTGGTGCAGCCACTATGGAAGGCAGTATGGAGGTTCCTCAAAAAATTGGAAATGGAACTCCCATTTGACCCTGTGATCCCACTACTAGGAATATATCCCAAGAAACCAGAAACACCTATCAGAAAGGATATATGTAACCAGATGTTCGTAGCAGCACAATTCACCATAGCTAAGATCTGGAAACAGCCTAAGTGCCCATCAGTAGATGAATGGATTAGAAAACTGTGGTACATCTACACGATGGAATACTATGCTGCTGTTAAAAAGAAGGAACTCCTACCATTTGCAACATCATGGATGGAGCTGGAGAGCATTATGCTAAGTGAAACAAGCCAGTCAATGAAGGAAAAATCCCACATGATCTCACTCATTCATGGATAATAAAGACCATTACAAACTTTTGAACAATAATAGATACAGAGGCAGAGCTGCCTCAAACTGATTGCCAAACTGCAGTGGGAAGGCCAGAGAGAGTTGGGGGGCAGGAGGGAGGGGAGTAAGAGATCAACCGAAGGACTTGTATGCATGCATATAAGCATAACTAATGGACATAAGACACTGGGGGGTAAGGGAGGGTAGGGGTGTGTCAAGGGCGGGGGGGAAAAAAAGGACACTTATGTAATACCCTTTGTAATACTTTAAGCAAAAAATAAAAAAATATTAAAAAAAAAAAAAAAAAAATAAAAATAAAGTGTGCCCTACTCAAGGCACCTTCCACGTAAAAAAAAAAAAAAAAAAAAAAAAAAAAAAAAAGAAATTACTCCATTTTAGTACATATGGAGCAGCTCCATTCATTTTTTATAGCAGCAGAGTATTCCATTGTGAGGATGCACCATAATTTATTTAATGAGTGTCCTGTTGGTGAACATTTAGGTTGTTTGCAATTAGGTTCTGTCAGCCACAAACCGTGCTGCAATGTGGGTTCTTTGTCATGTGTATTTGAGCATATGCATGAGCGCATTTATTCTAAATAAATTGCTAGAAGCACAATTTCTCAAGCAGAGGGTATCTGAGTTCAATATTTTAGATGTTCTAAATTGCCCTCCATAGAAGTTGTACCAGTTTTCACTTCCCACCAAGTATGAGAAGTCTTGTTTCCCTGAGTCATAGTCAACGTCAGCGAAGTATGTTCAACTTTTGATTGTTGCCAGTCTGTTTAGTGGAAAATGGTTTCTCACTGTATTTAACTTAATTTCTATAATGAAAAATATTGACCATCTTTTCATATATTTAAACTTTCCTAGGGCCATATGTGGATCCCGTCTAAAGAGTTTTCAGTAACTACACTCAGCACGCTAGAGAAATATTATTGAGTATTCTTAGGTATTGAAGAGGATGCTAGAACTCTGAAATCAAAATATCTGAATGAAATATTTCTTGAAAGTGAAATAATTCATGTTTGACTACTCATGTTAAATTGTTACTCATTATTCTAGCAACCTACCCTTGAGTGACTGAATTCACTGTCTTGCATTTGTTGTGTATGTATGTTGTGTCCAGAATTCATCATTGAATATGAAGATGCAATGCACGAGGCGGGGCTGTGGCACCACCAAACGGAAGTTCCGGGGACGCAGACCACAGCCCAGCTGAAGCTGTCTCCATACGTGAACTACTCCTTCCGAGTGATGGCAGAGAACAACCTGGGGAGGAGCTTGCCCAGCGAGGCGTCTGAACAGTATTTGACCAAAGCTGCAGGTAAAGCTGGACTTTTGTGGTATGAAATAAAATAGAGTCAAACTACAGTGGGAACCCTGGGGAGGGTTGAGGGAGGGTAGGAGATCAACCGAAGGACTTGTATGCATGCATATGAGAATAACCAATGGACACAAGACACTAGGGGGTGGGGGAAGCCGGGGGAATGTCAAGGGCCGGGGCGGGCGGGGGGTGGGAGGGGGAAAGGAGACATGTGTAATACTCTTTGTAATACTTTAAGAAATAAAAAATAAAATAAAATAAATAAAATAGAAAAGTTTCCCACTGTTTGAAAAAGACCAAAGCTTACATGTGTGTGGCTGCTTAACTTCTAGAACCAGATAAAAATCCCATGACTGTGGAAGGACTAGGATCAGAGCCCGATAATTTGGTGATTACGTGGCAGGTGAGCTATGTATAAAGCCTTCAACTTTCCTCTGTACACTTTAGAGTGAAAAAAAACTAATTTTAAAATAATACCTGTATTAAAATCCCATTTTACCCATTTTGAAGGAAAATGTACATTACATATCTTTATTTAAAAGACAGTATTGTGTAGTAGTTAAAATCTTGATCCTTGGAGCAAAAATGAATGCGTGCAAATTCCAGCTTTGCCACTCACTATGTGACTTTAAGCCAGTTGTTTAACATCTCCATTATGTATTTGTATGATTGGAATAATAATAGGACCAACTTCATATAATGCCTACAGCAGTGCCTAGCACATACATGTGCTCAATAAATGCTAGCTAGTAGTATCACCATTGTATAGAACCATCTAGAAGACATGTACCGAGTTATTCCTAATAGTCAACTTCTTTTCTTTCTTTTTGCTTATCTGTATTTTCTGGACTTGGAAAATTAACATACAATTTAAAAACTTCAGATAGCTCTGTTCATGCATGCTCATGCTAGTATACTTTTTGTACATACTTATGTATATATGTACATGTAGAAACAGAATAGATGCAGTTCACAAGTTTCAGCCTCCAAGTGAAATAGACAATGATGTGCTGTCACACAAACAGGAAGATGTAGAGGAACCTACGTAACTGAATGTTTTAAGTCACCCACCCTTGACTGTGGAACCAGAGTTTGAGAGGCTTCTATGGTATATACTACAAGATAGAAATGAGCAATCTTTGAAATGTGGGCACTAAAAAAGCTTTGCATGTCATCAAAAATGAAAGAAAGATAAAAGGTCCCTGGAGAATATTGTTAGCCGCTTATATTTTAGTGTTTCAGTGCTCACGTTAAGTCTGGGAATTGGTTTTGTTGTTCTGTAAAAGGTTGTGCAGTCGATCTGTTTTATAAGCTCTGATTATTTGGCTTTTCTTGTAGCCCTTGAATGGTTTTGAATCAAATGGGCCAGGCCTTCAGTACAAAGTGAGCTGGCGCCAGAAAGATGGTGATGATGAATGGACGTCTGTGGTGGTAGCAAATGTATCCAAATATATTGTCTCGGGCACGCCAACCTTTGTTCCCTACCTGATCAAAGTCCAGGCTCTGAATGATGTGGGGTTTGCTCCAGAGCCAGCTGTCGTTATGGGACATTCTGGAGAAGACCGTAAGTGGCTGACACTGTTTTGTTTACACTTTTTCTCAGCAAAACAGACTTAACAAAGTGCAAGCCAAGTCTATTCCCAGACGTGTTTAGAATGGGAGGAAGAGAGGCAGCAATGATTTTTGTTCAACATTTCTGAGTTTAAACAGCCTACTATGTAGAAAATAGGTTCAGAATGTTAAAAGTTATTACTTTTTACTTTTTTAAAAATGTCATTCTTTTTGGGGGAGAGGGTTAATCCTCACTGGAGGATTTTTTTTCATTGATTTTAGAGAGAGTAGAAAGGAGGGGAAGGGGAAAGAGGGAGATAAGAGAGAGAGAGAGAGAGAGAGAGATCGATGTGAGAGAGCCATGTCAATTGGTTGTCTCCAGCATGTGCCCCAACTGGGAATTGAACCCACAACCCTAGGATTCACAGGCAGATGATACTAACCATTGAGCCACGCGGGCCAGGGCAAGATATATTATTCTTTCAAAGTCTACTCTTAGTCCTTGATCATTTATAGAATAGGTCTGGAGCATTGCTTCAATAAAGCCAAAATTATTAGACAGTGACTTTTTTTTTCGCATGAAATTCAAAATAACATTGGTCCTTCTATCCTCCCTCCCTCGCTTTCCCTAGTCCCCATGGTGGCTCCTGGGAATGTGCATGTGACCGTGGTGAACAGTACCTTAGCTGAGGTGCACTGGGACCCAGTGCCTCTGAAAAGTGTGCGAGGACACCTGCAAGGCTATCGGGTAAGTGAAGGGAGACCTTCCCTGTTCTTTCCTTAGGAACAGCCCATCAGTGAAGGCCAGATGCACTTTTCTTGGCTGGAGAAGTTGTTCTTGAGAGTTCATCTGGTTTATCGCCTCGGGCAGGCCACGTCTAAACAACCCCAGCTGAAACTGAATCAAGATTTCACTGTATCCAAAAGTGAGGGGGGGAATGTTTCCTCCATTTTTCACACAGAGAACCTAAGGTTTTGCCAACTAAGCAATTAACATAAGCACAAAAGATGGAAAACTGATGTTTGAAAAATCAGATATAACAAAATGCACCTAGCTTAAAAACTATACCGACCACATGTGAATACACACATTATCCTGAAAATAATGTAGACATTAAAAAATAATTCATTTGCCGAAGCCGGTTTGGCTCAGTGGATAGAGCGTCGGCCTGCGGACTGAAGGGTCCCAGGTTCGATTCCGGTCAAGGGCATGTACCTGGGTTGCGGGCACATCCCCAGTGGGGGGTGTGCAGGAGGCAGCTGATCGATGTTTCTCTCTCATCGATGTTTCTAACTCTCTATCTCTCCTCCCTTCCTCTCTGTAAAAAATCAATAAAATATATTTTAAAAAAAAAAATAATTCATTTTATACTTTAAGATCATAAAGTACCAACTGGGTCATTCTTATGAATATCAACCATCTTCATTCTTGGGAAGCACAGAAAGAAGGGGTTTTATAGAGGGGTTTTTTTAAATTGATAGTTATCTGTTTTGACATTCACCATAGAGTCCCTCCTTTGATTTGTCAACCCTGACCCCTAGAGGTCATTTTTTGCACTGCATCATGTTCAATTTTATTTTTTCTAACATTGTTCAATTCTGTATATGTTGACTTCTCTTTAAAAAAAATGTCTTTAAACTGCTAAGAAGAATTTAAAAGGACTTAATAAACAACAATTCTGGATTTTTAACCAAAGTTAATCAACACATTGTTAATCAACTACAATATAATACAAAAAATAAGTGCGAGAGCCCCAGACTTGGAGTCACTCCTGATTGTCCTGTGCCCTGTACAAGTCACGTGGTAACCCAAAGGCTCATCTGTACTATAGGAATAATAATAATAAACGCTTCACTGTGGGTTTTAGGACTAAACTAAATGACATATTGTACATGAAGTTCTATTAACTCTGGAAAAAGTATCTAAATATTGGCCAGTAATTTTTACTTTTAGAATATTTTACATGTCAGACACGGAAATCCTTCTGTTGGCTTTTAGAGAGAACTGAATGGGTGTTGTGCTATTTCATTTATTTCCCTTATATTCCTCCAACAAAATAGGATAGCCCAGCTTCATCAGATATTCTTAATTTGGCTTTCCTCAATATCTGTGGGCTTCTGACTCTCCTGCCTCAGAATCAATATTTTTCAGTTTTGCCAGTAATCTTCCAAAATGCACCACTTATGGGAATTTTCTGGGGAAAGGCCCATAAAACTTTAATCTTGTTTGCCTCCTTATACATCCCTGACTTTTGTTCTTGCTGCTTCAGATTTACTACTGGACGGACCAGAATTCATCAAAAAGAAACAGACGCCACATTGAGAAAAAGATCCTCACCTTCCAGGGCAGCAAGACCCACGGCATGTTGCCGGGGCTGGAGCCCTTCAGCCACTACACACTGAACGTCCGCGTGGTCAACGGGAAGGGGGAGGGCCCGGCCAGCCCCGACAGACTCTTTCATACGCCGGAAGGAGGTATGAGGCGGACGTGTCTCTGAGACCCTAGCAACACGTGGCACATGCTGAGAGGCTTGTGTGGCAGAAGGGCCCCCAAATAAAGTATATTCTGGAAGC